TGTCAAATAATTTCATTGATACTTGAAATTTTACGTAGCATATAGACAATCTCGCAAAAACTAATCTTCATAAATTATGAAAAAGATACAGCACGATATTGCTTTACGTCTCTTTAATTTTTCAAGTCACTTCAGATCGTCTATATGTATACCTATATTCATATAGACGTACATAGATATTGATTTATTGCTGGCGATAAACGTGGAGATTCGAGAGATATCCGCTCACGCAAATAACTGTCAGAGCACTTTCGAAAGTAAACGATCGCGGCGCGAATGTGTGCACGTCCAGTTCGACTAAAATGCTTGGAGATTCTCCCGCTTATAAACGACTCTCTGTGCCTAGATTGCACAAAGTTTCCTCACGAGTCTTAATGAGCGTTTAATTAATCGGACAACTTGCATACATCGCAATGTCTACTGAACTTCAGTATGGCTCTCGTCAAAGAGGCAATCAGCGACACTATTGACACAAATTCGCCTTTCATAGACTACGAAGCACACATATGTCCTGCAATTATTACTGTAGTACTACCTTTCGCATTCGTGTAAAGGAAGTATTTTGGCAGAAATAAAGTTTAACACGCGATTTTCGGGATCCCACACGCAAAGAACAATTTTGCTGAATCCAGATTTGAAAATAATTTTGTACGAAAGTCAAAATAATTGCTAGAATATTAAAACGTTTTATAGCAGTGCTTATCAGTTTTAACATTCCAACAAATTATTTCGATGACTCAATAAAAAGTTATTTTCAGATCTGTTTTTAGTCTAAAATTAAAATTTTTAGATCTTTCATCAAAATCGTTCTTTCCGTGTATAAGTATAAGAAGGAAACTCTGGTCATGTGATGTCCTGCAACCTGATAATAAATTTCAGATTAATTTAACTTAAATTACAAAGTTGTAACAAGAAAAGCTTGATAAGATTTGTGAATGTCTCTTTGTTACTTATTCTTTCAGACAACATTTTATAGCATGACGCATTTCCTTTAAAATTTCTTCGAAATGACGCAACTTTATGTATCTATTTTGCTCAAAGAGAGAGGGATACAAGTATAATAGATACACACGGAGGAGTAGCGTGTCAATTTATCTCGCGAATAGCTTGCGCCACAAGACGTCTCCGCAACGCGTCGTTATGCCTATTCGGATTTCTAAAGCTTGTACACGCGATTCCAACAGCTCTCCCGCGCGGGAATTCCGCAGTTCGATAATAATGTTTGACAGATAATCCGAATGCAATCTGTAATGAGAGCCTCCACCACGAAACACGCGTATTTCTTCATTAACTCGCCTTACAACGCGACATTCCGTCTCACGTTGTGCATAAGCTGACGTCCTTAACGGAGCTCGATCTCATTTCACATTGTCGTCTCGTCGCACGTCCGTCCGTGTTCCCTGCCTTAATAGACGAAGGTACCGAAGTGTTTGGCCAAGCAAACGAGCGTGTGTAACCGAGAATAGTCTGCAATGGATTCAAGTTTTCGTGCTAGACGGGAAAGTCCTGTGCAACACCGCTGAAGTTTGCTGCAGCTTTAATCTCCCACATTAAGGACAGACGAGGGCTTAATTAAGGGAGCGACATAAATCGCGACATATCCCCCGACCGAAACTCTGACATCGAACGAGCTATCGATAAAAGCATGATAAAGATTAAATATCTTCTAGAATATCATTCCTCTTTCTCTTCTTGATTTGTTAATTTAGTTTTAATCTTGGTATTTATTGTCAACTTTTTATTTAAATCGTTCATATCATTTTAAGGAAAATTACTAACGATTCTTCTTAGAGAAGTAAAGTCCAAAGGATATTTTCTTAAACTGTATTTTGATGTTTCTTTCCATCTTTCTTAACTAAATATTTGTAACGATATAGTTTATCATTTCTCTTTATTATTTCAACAAGATTAACTCACAACATTTAAAATCAATTTAGCTTTGTGTATCCGAGAAATAAGGTTTCGCAATAGCCACGCTTTTTTCGATATCATCAAAACATGGCACCATAATACTGTTGTCCCAAAAGAGACAACCATTAAGGCACGCTATTTTCTCATCGCGGGCGGCGAAGATTACTTTGCTATCTCTGCTGCATTTTCTCATTTACTCCGTCTTACCTCGAACGGATATGTTGGACGAAATCGGTTTACGCGAGTTTAGTGGAGAAAGAAAAAAGATCTATCCAGTAGGTACGCGATCGCTATTAGTTACGTAAGCTCTTAATTGAGCCGCACGTATATATCGATCTGCCCAGAAGACTTTCGTCTTTAACTCCCGTTGCAGAAAAAGGCTATCAAATTCGATGGTCATTGAACCTGACTTCAACCTGACTTCAACGCAAACTTCGTTACTTCGTTTTACGAAACCAACTACTTCAGTAACTTATCGTTCCTTCTACATCATTCTTTTTACAGTATCTTCGTCAAACATTCATCTTTTAAGATATACTAAACACGGATGTAATAATTATGTATATGGAGTTATAATAACTATATAAATTATAATAACTATATAATAATTTTTTTAATATCATCTATTATACATCATGTTATAATAATAGATATAGCCATTATATAAATTATTTTTATGTTTTAATTTTGAAAGAAATTTGAAATAATTAATAATTATACATGTATATAATGTTAGCAACATGATATATTATTAGAAATTATTTTACAACATGTTAAACGTTCCTGAGAAATCGCTTTCATTCCGTGATTGCGTGTAATTTTTCTAAAATTGCACGGGCTCTAAATCTTTCCTAATAACTTCCTAATAACCTAAATCTTTCTCAAAGACACTTCTTCCCAAAAACATCGGATTTAAAGTGCTTCATTAACCATACAAGTGTCCAAAACTCAGATTGGCTGATAGAAAGGAGGTTACGAGAATTTAAGGCGTTCTAATTCTATCGACATAAGCACTTTATTAAATTAATTATTTGTCTTTACTTGCTAGAGATTATATGTACAACTTAGTTTGGTATACTTTACAAGATGTAGCGTCGCAGCAATCACGTGGTCTTTAATTCCAAACTATGTAATCTTTATAACTCTCAAATAAGCATTTTACTTTGCTCATATTATTGTATTAGCAATTTGTAATGCTACTTTTGTATTTTCTAATGATTATAATTAATATGCATATTATTCAAACCGCATCAGAAAGTCCTAAAAAATCTTATGAGATTGTCATATATTTTTATATACATACATTTCTTCTATATATATATTTTTTTCTATATACATATTTTTTTGCATTAATCTTATAATTAATTTAAATTTTTTTAATATTACATAATAAATAAATTAATAAATGTAAAATATGTAATATAAAAAATCAAAATACTTATTAATATTTAAATGTAGATAAATTAAAATTAATATCAAGATATTTTTATAATTTGAAACAATATAATATTAGATTATTATTAATCTCTAGAAGAACTTATGAATATTAACTTATTTTTAATTTTACAATTCCCCTTTAACGTACACAAAATATCACTTTACATAGAAAGAGTTCCCGTTGAAAAAGTATGTTCGCGTTCGTTTTATAATCGGGTCGTCCGCTAAACGGTGTACAAAGAACTCCGTAACCGCATTAGAAGCACATTCAGCTGACGTTAATAGATCCGTACAAAGTCGAGTAATTTAGCTTATGTCGGTCAATTTATTCACTTCTCATTTATACAACTGCCTTTCTGGTTTTCAAAAGCTCTATACTCATTTTCAATTCTCCTTCATTCCGCATTGCAGCTTAAAACACACCTCGCACTGCATTACCGGATAGCTAATAATTAATAATCGTAAACATTTAAACTGATTTTATAAGAAAACAGGAAACCACGAGTCGTCTAATCTTGCGTCTCGCAAAAATAATTATGAAATATGTCCCGTCTGCACTACAAATGCAATAAAGTATCTTCATGACTTTTCTTAAATTTTTTACTTTATATAAAAGATAAAAAGTTTAAATTACTATCGAAAACAGATTTGGTTGGTTTAAATAGAGTTTATTTGTAGAGAAAAATATATCTTCTAATTGTGAGTTCTAAATAGAATTCATATGTAGATATACATAAATAATTCTAGATGGATTTTTTCTCTTAGTTTTGTTTAAATTCTCATATATAATTTTACAATTAAAATTTTCACAATAATTATGATAATTACATGTCAATAATATTTTATTATTTGCTATTTGATATTCAGATATCAATCCGTTAAAAATTATTAAGTATGTGAAATATCGTATTACAATATATAATACAGTTCTAGTACAAATTTTATTCTTACGGCCATTTTGATTACGTGTTTAATTAAACAAGGAATATACTGTACGCTCATCTTATCTTCCGTTCTCTTCGGCCGTCTCATAGAAGAATATTACTGCGCGGTAATCTCATGAACTTACGTCTCTCCACTATCTTCTTATATGAGAGAACAACGTGTACCATAATACTCGTCCTCATTTTGCATTCCCCTTTACCAACTGACTATGTCATAATGTACCGAAATCTTATTTAAAGGCCTCCCTCAAGAACCGTTGCAATCTACATTGTGTATTCACTCGATGCGCTTGCATCCTGCTGTACTCACGCATAACCGTCGATCGAATGCTATTAAGAAATTGGATATGCCGAATGTTTCGTTCAATTGGATATACCGAAGTTTAGTTCAGTGATCGAGAGAATTTCGAAGATATGAACAGAAATTTACTGACAGCTTTTATAACGATGCGATAAGTGCAGTGAAATTTTGAAACTATTTTACTGCTCATTAAGAGAACAACGAAAGATACAATAATATCTTAAATATTAGTTTGATCAGAAAATATAATTCCGCAGAAAACAAAATCCCACGTGATCAACGATTAATATATCGTAATAAGTAAAATATACCGCAAAAAAGCAGATGTATAAAAATCCAAAAAAATCTCGAAATTTTTCTCGTTATCGTAGCGTTAGCTTTGGTACAGCTGAGATCGATATTTCCAGAACATCGTGTTACTACTCGTGAAGGAAGGCCCGCCGTGTTCCGCTAATGTGTTGCGGTACGATGCAAAAAAAGAGTGAGTACCCTGTTCTACTCCGTGTTCCTTCTGTTCGATCCTTACGAGCTACCGTGCACGCTTCCACAACTCGTTCCCACCTCCTCGCGTCGCTCGGGCGCAAGTTTGCTCTTCCTGTGTGTAAGCTCGGACGTTCTGCGCGGACAAGCGCTTAATTAAGCGAATAACATATATCATCTTAACGCCTAACGCCCACCTTCAACTTCCTCGACTACCTTGCCTTGCGGAGGTACACGGCCGGGGCAGGCGGATCCGTAGGTCTGGCCCAGCAGAGCCGTTCGGTTCCACCTACCCGCCTCCTGTAACCAGGAGAGAGCTTTGAGCGCCAAGCCACCGAAGATCCTTGTCCTCGTTCTACCACGTCGACCAACGCGTCTTAATATGTTCTCTACGTTTACCGTGTTCCCTACGACCGTGGACGCTGAAAATCTATGGGGTCACCCGGAAACGTATTACCCACTTCGGCGATATTACGCGTTTACACGCTGTCATCCGTATATTGAGAGAGATATTTAGTACAAGGATGAAATGTATTTTGCTATTATTTTGTGGCCGTGATATTACTTTATGACTTTGTTTAAAAAATAAGCGGATCATACATATACACATATGTTATATATCATTTTGATTTTTCTTAATAGAATTGCTTAAATCTGTTTTCTACTTTCACGTAGTTTTCGTACTTAAATACTTAAAATATTAATGTAATTATTCTTTCAATAATTTAATTAATATAATTTTTAATGTTTTATTATTTTTAACAGATCGTCTCTCAATTAAATTATAATATTATAGTTAAAAACAAAATTGGATAATCGGGAAGGATATTCCGTTCTATTTCGTATCTATGGCTCCTCCTTTGGAAATTTCTAGCGTTCTATACGCTCCCAAGCGGTACGGTCGTAATGAAGAGCTTGTATACGACGTAGCCTTAGGCATTGCGGGGATGAGATAACGGAACGAAGTCCTCCCCTGATTTCCAAAGAGATCGAACGAGCCGAGCGTTTATTGACGAGCCTCTCACGTTGGTGATTTTAAATCTAAATTTATAGTAATAAATGGAGAAACACTCGATAGGTAATCACACTATAGTATTTTCTGAACAGGTGATTTTTTTTCTTCTTAGAATGGTTTAGGAGTAATATTGATAAAGATGATATGAAGCTTTTGTTTTACAATTATGTAGAACGAAGATTCGCCTTTATTTCTGGTATAACGATGTATAATTTAATGAATATAAGTTTGCACATACCCTATTGACAACGATTATAAAATCTTCCTTTAATCATTTTTAACCTCATCGTAAAATTTAATTATTTCTATAATTGAAAGAACTTTTCTAGCACTTTCGTGCACAATTTTTTTTTAATCATTTAATTACGTATTAACATATTTTCTTTAGAGAAATTTAATGTTTTAAAGAGATTTAATTGAGAAAAGTGTTGCCATAATGCATATGTAAGTAACAGAGAATAGGGAAACTTAGTAATATTTAAGGGAGAGAGTGGATGTCGTCACAAATGTAATGAGACAGTGGAAGTAGGAGTAAGAAAGATACGATTCATACTACCAAATGAGACTACATGTAATTAGTCGGATATATTCATCTCTACTTGCTATTCACTATCGCGCAAACAATAATCTTCAAAAACATTTCGACATCAGTACCGATACAATAAATTTTTGTTACAAATTATATTCCTAATTTATATAAATTTTTTTATATAAACTACAAATATAGAACCAATAACTTTCTTACATCCACATTTCGGACAAAATATAAATGTGTAAAAATCTGAATGCAATTAGTCGATTTTTTTTATTGAGACATTTTCTTGAATATTAATAATATTGATATATGCCGTAAAAGAAAGGCGGAAGAAAAGAAGGAAAAACGAGAAATTTGTTTCTGCTTGTCAGGGGTAAAAATTACTTGTGAAAATTTGCCTCTCCGGATCTACGTTTCTTTTCTAACTAATCTCAGATACGTTATTTCCTCCGGGAATCCGAGAACAAAATGTTTTAAGCTTGCCAGCGCGCCGGGATTCAGCGACGACCTCTTCGTCCGTTAATACGCGGAAAGGAGCTAGCGCGATATTGAATTATCATTAGCAAATTCCATTATAGGACAAACAGCGCAGTCCCCCTGCTAATTGTAACTCGTTAAAGCCTTTAACTATTTGAGTTGGAAGTTACCTTCCTGTAATTTCAATGGCGCTTTCACGGTCGTTCTCTATTCATGCGCGACGAGAGAAACTACTGTCACACCGCCGGGTAAGGACTCCTCCTAAAGACTGAAACGTGTCTAGCATAATTGAGACCATTTGAAATGCCTGCATGAACATTTTCAGAGCTCCGCCGACACGCCTGACCTCCTAATAAAGTTATATTATTCAAAATCGCGATGGAATGCCATTTTCTCTCTCGAATAAGTATATTATTCAAAAATTCTCTTGAACACTTACGGTCTTAGAATTTTTTTCAATTCAATAATGCAAATGTGAATTTATAGCAGAAAGTTTGTATTTGATTTTATTATACTTTTACAGTTTACGTAATATTTTATTTTTTATCGGTCGATATATATTCCTCTGGAAATGAGTAGCAAAACGATCTTTTATTCTTTCTTTCTGTCAGACGTTTAACAAATTAATGCTACAGTATTATATATGTATAGCGGTTAACGAAATTGGCATAAAAATGGTACAATGTTGTGTGCATTAATTCAACGTTTATTATCAATAGGATTGATTGTGTCGTTTCTATGCCCCGGTTGCGCAGGAGTTAATAGAACCGTTACATTGTTGTTATCTGTCGATTCATTCATTCATATACGGGGATGTCGTTCATCATACTCGAGAAGTGATCGTTTATATCTTTGAGCTGCTGACATGTTGACAAGTAGCCACCTATTTGAGAGAGCGGCTCAGGCCGAGAAGACGTGTGATTAATGTGCGAGAGATAAGAGAGGTAGGTCCGACTTCCGGACAACTGACTTAACTTAACTCAGACAATGCGTACAATGAAATCACAAGTGTCAGTTAATGAAATCGTCAAATTTACCCTGCGCTTCCTACGAAGAAACATCCGCGATCGCAAATACGAAAGATTCGAACGCCGTCGGGAAAATAGGGATTTGTAGGGGAAAGCTTGCACGCCTTTTCCTACAAATATTTGAAGTTACTTTCCAATGTGTCCCCGTTTGTGTCCCAAATAAAAATTTAATGGGAAAGCTTGTTACACTTAGTGCCATTTCTACTTTAAAAATGTGCAAATTTAATACAAAATTATTATTAATGGATACATTTGTGTATACGTGTATAAAAGAATAATGTGCATTTACGTAAAATTAATGAGAATAATATCATCTCTGTTTTTTAAAATAAATTAACATTATCAAAAGACTCGCCTTTAATATAATATGATACGATTATCTCAATTATTTGTAATGCATGATTGCCTTTACACGTTTAATTAAACTTTTTGAAACCGATCAGATAATAAAATTTGACAAATGCGTATATACACTTCGATCGATGAAAATTGAAGGCATTATTATATGTATACGCTTGTTGTATAATAATTAATAACGAGATGAACAATTAATATTTCATGATCGGTTCTGGAATCCAGTTATAAGCATTTACGATTTCATCAAGCCATTTTAGAGTAGCGTTCTATAACACGCAATTAACCGCATATAAATTGTAAATTTTACAACTGCAATGTATATGATAATTGTGAACAATTAAATGAATATCAGTTAAACAGATTAAAGTTCAAAGGCGCATAGGCATAAGTAATAAAAAATGGAGTGTTTTAGAAAAATCATATAATGCAGAATACTTACTTACTTAAAAAGATAAAAACAAAAAAAATTCTTTTTATTTATTTTTTTTATTTGTATATCTACAATGCGTTATTATATCAAACGCTTTAAAAAGTTATTTAATTTTGCATTTTTTTTCTTCTGTTGTACGTTGTGCCATTGAATTAAAAATGTCTCATTTTTTCTTTTTCTTTTTGTGTATGTATCGTATATATTAATATACAAGAGAATAAATTAATAAAAAATGTATAAATTGCAATTGGATTTGGACATTATTAAGACCCATAATTTATGAAAATATTTTTATCTTTTGTGCTATCCGCGATAATATATATTGTTAAAAGAAATAATTGCAACTGTTTAAAAAAGACGCAATAGTTTTACTGTGTAAGCCTTTGATTAAAAACCTGCTTAGCATAATGTAAGCATAATGGCCCTCAGCAAAGTAATTCAATGTGTCAGCGGTGGTTAAGTTGGCTCGCATTCGGCGGGAATTACCGCAAATCGTATATTTCGCATTTAGTTGGTGTCAGCGGCAACATACTCGCATATTAGTTATTACGACTGGGAGCCAAACAGCTCGAGTGTATGCTCGCGCTCAAAGCAAATCCAGAATGCTCCATTCTACCTCTGACCATTGCACTCTGCTGCGGTCTGCTGGCGGAATGCGAGCGCACTTCGAGACAGCCTTTAAAATCCAGCGTCAGGAAAGACATCAAAGGCTTTGTTTGGCGCAATTACTATCGGCGCACAACACACCGACCCGCCGGCAAATCCGCTTCGCGCTGGACCGGAACCGTAGCGACGCGAATGAGCAGTGCATTATAAACAGTCGAATTCGTAAATCCTAGCTGCTCCAGGGTTATCTGCGCTTTCTGTTATAAATCGTTTAGTCAATTTGGAGCGAGTTTTTTTAAATTCTGAGGCAACTCTTTTTTTTTTTTAATCGCCGGCGGCTTAAAAAAGTAGAGAAAAATTCTATTCATTCGGTGTCTTTTGCGAATTAATTTATTAACAAATGTGTGTTTGATGTAAAGAGTGTAAAATATTTATATGTAAAGAACTTAGCAAAGGGCACTACTTTCGAATTTTATATCTCTGAGAAGTGTTTATCCACTTTTCGATATTTCATTTCACGAAAGTCCGACGTCGGAAACTTGAAGTCATCGATGACAAAATCTCATAACGTTTAGTAGAACATGTCATTCGAAAACACGTGTTTATGTTTTTCCCGGTGTCGTTTCGAGAGAGGAATTAGGGTTCGACAGACAGTGACATGCGAGAGCAGTCGAGGGTCATGCCCGTCTGCCAGTCAGCCTCATGGCAGGGACTTTGAAGTTGATCGATTTAGCAGCTGCAGTCATTCCGTAGATCGTACCTCTCTCAGGCTCTAATGAACCAGCCAGTGGGAACAAAAATATCCTTACGATTATCCCGTATGTTGCTCGTTATTATTTCATTTTGTATCTATATTTCTCTCGCGTTTAATTTTAACGCAAATAAGACGTTTTTAACGCGTTCTACTCTAATAGGTTTCTACCAGACAGAACTCGTAAAATTGATATAATTACTCGCTATTATACCGGGTGTATATATTTAGTCGCCCCCTTACGTTAATACCGTGGAGCTCTGTGTTAGGGGGTTGATAAGCGTGGAGATAAAGTGTTGGGATAAAAGAACAATTATTACGGTGTCTGATTCTATTGTATGCAAATAAGAATATAAATGCGGACTAATTTCACGTCTGGCACCTACAGTGTATATACACAGCGAAAGGTCCATCTTGCTCCTCTATTCATGCAGTAAAAGCTCATTACGACTAGTGCCTCCGGAGAAATAAGAACAGGAAAAAGCCTTTTAACATCATTTTTTACCCAGCAATACCATCTTTTAATGTAATTATGTAGAACTGGGCTGTGATGCAATTATTTATTCATTATCAGGGAGTACATTACCCGCAAAGGCGAGATACAAAAAAGTGAGATGTTTGTGAAGGCATGATATAAACCAAGAGAATTATATGCACAGCACGCGGATTTATATAAAGAAAATTGCAAGTGCAAAATATAGACATTATCGATATTTATATGAAATTTTTTAATTGCTTCGTAATACAATTTTATTATAATTGTTTTTTTAATCCATATTATAATATTTGCTATTAAAGTAATTTGAAAGTTGAAGAAAATATAAATAAATCTTTGTCTATTTCATTTATATTGACA